AGCGTCATGTCAAAGGGCTGTGTCTGCATACTGCCATCAGCCAGGGCTAGGTACAGGAGGTGCCGATGCAGCAACCTGCTGTCGTGGCCACCAGTTGCAGTAGGTGCAGAATGTGCTGGTTGTCGGAACGCAGATCAGGAGTACCCCCAGAAACACCTCCCGCTGCTGTTCTGCTGCTTTGGGAAGGCGTGCCGGCCGCAGGATCCATGGCTGTGTGGCTTGGTGGGGTGGTGTGCAAGTGTGCTCAGCTATACCCAGCCTGTGCCTGGGGGATGCACTGCCACACAGCCTGCTGCAGCCCACCCTCATCCTCCGGGCTGAGAACTGGGAACTGTCCAGTGGGAAAGATCCTGCTCACTTTGCTGTCCTGTGGTCGCTCTGCAGGGATGCGGGGCCATCACTCAGACCCCACCAGAAGACTTCTCCCTCACAGACTGAAGTCATGTTCTCAGGTGCTTTGTTCTCTGGCTGCAGAGTCCAAGTTTCATCATGAAGGCAGCAGAAGCAGCGCTTCATCAGAGCTGTGGGCAGAGATGTGCTCAGTTATGCATCCTCCAAACTGCTCCGGGCCCCATGCAAAGGGTTGGCTTGCTGCAGGGCAGCGCGCCTTCCTCGTAGCGCTCCCCTTAGCTTCTGTGCCAAGGGCAGCCAGGTGGACTCAGATTTAATGAGGTTTTGTTTCACATGACTTCCTCCATCATAGGAAAGGAACAAACAGGTGGAGTGTTTTTAAAGCAGGTCATAGAGTATCGATAAGAGCTCCCTTTTAATTCTTAATTAATTTTTAATTCTTAATTCAAGTAAAAAGCAGAAACTTGCAGTGGGAAGTTTTATTTTTGTAGCACTACGTCCTCGTGTTTCCTGAAGCTGTGGATTTCTCTTGCTGCGAGAGACTGGCTGGTTCTGCCCTTCATTAACTTGTTGAGAGGAGTGGAGGACAGGGAGGGGGTGGTTCGGTGAGGTAGGTACTAACTGGAGTATTTTTGAGAGAGAACGCAGTGGAGGCTGACTGCAAGAGAGGGATGTTTCGCCGCAGCCCATAGAAGTGACTCCCCAAGCTGGCGTGGTTTTGCTATCTTGGTGTTTCTGATCAGGCTGATTCCACTGAACTTCTTGTCCTGTACAGAGATAAGAGGTCGGATGCTTCACGCCTTCCAGATACTGGTATCATTTCTCTGGCACTGTTCCCGTGACCATGCAAGATATTCCTTTCTCTCCGGTCCTGCTAGTGCTCCTGTTTCTGCCCCAGCAGACTGTGGCCTGCAGCCCCATGTCATTCTTGTTTCCTTCTCTGAAGTAGTTGTGTCAAACCACACCTGGCTTTTTTCAGAGGCAAGGGTGCAAAACCACCTGCAATGCCAGTTTACATCAGAGGGAGCAGCAGATACCCAATGCTGCCGAAAGAAAATAACTCTTGTAAATATTTTAGGGAATAATCTATTTGAAGGCTGTTCTGGGGTATGATGGATCTTTAGGCTGTGTTTTGTTTTCCTTCTCTCTTTGCAGATGCTGCTCAGGGAATGGTGGAGAACAGAAAGCGTATGCTGAGTAACAAGAGGCAAAAGAGCATGACATTGCTTGTTTTTGTTCAGTCATGCTGAGAAAAGTGCGCTGTGGTGTGAGGCTGGAGAATATGTTTAGGTCTCTCCTGAGAAAAACGCTTAGCTGATGTGCTCTATTCTGACTTGCCTTCAGCTCTGTTAGAGCAGATAAAGCTCTGCAGAGGAGGGGCAGATGTATTCGGCACTGCTTTCCGCCCTGAAAGCACAGCTACTGGCAAAGCACACTCCTCTGCCCTGACCGTGGAATGGGGCTCATCTCCAGCTCTAGCTTCTGTGCTAAACATCCCCCAGCTGCCCGTGTCGGTGTGGCTGTGTGCGTTCAGCCTTGCCAGCGTGGGCTGAGCTGTTCTCCAGGTGTGCGTGAGCGGGAAGGAAGAGTGTGTGGTATATCCGAAGAGTCGTTTAATGTATGCGTTTGTGTGGGGGGCATATGTGCATATAATCCTGTTAGCAACACATCACAGGCTTGGAAAAAATCTCTGGATAATCCCAGGTCAGTCATTCTGTGTGAAATTGTATCTTCTCTTTGCTTCTAACACTGGCCCCGGGGTGGGAGCCTGCATTCTTCTGCTGTTGATGCTTCATTGCTCCCCTGTGTGTGAGCTGCTGTGGGACGCGTGCGGGGACTGTGTTCTCTCCTTGCCTGAGATCGTGAGGAAGATGAAAAGAGCAGGAGGTGTTCTGGGACAAAATGGAAATGCAAGCCCACAGCATGCGTGGCACTGAGCAGAGCAGAGAAAGTAGTTGGTAAGTTGAAGATGCCAGGGGTTAAGGATTTCTTGTGGGGATGATCCCTTTCAAAAGTGATCACCTTAACTAATGTGGTAAAGGTTTAAAAAATGATGTGTCTGTCCTTCCTGCCTCAGCCCTCTTTCTCTGCCAAACCTTCCCTGCAGGCTCCCATCTCCTCCCTGCCTCACTTTGCTGTACAGTCAGTCTGTGCTGCTGAGCATTATGCTGAATTGTTAGAGCCTTCACCCTTTTTATGCATCCGTCCTTTTGCACCGAAAGAAATCTGTGCTTCCTGTGGAATTCCTCCTCTTCTCTCCTGCCTGTTGTAAGCGCTGAGTTTTCAGAATCTTTCCAGAAATTGAATGGTCAGAGAGGAGGGAACTGGTTCGTTGTTTGTAACCGTTTTGGCTCTCAAGGCTGACGAAGGGTTTGGCAGGAGATATGTGGTAGTTCTTTAACACGGGTTAATGTTTCTGTGCTGGGGGTTGAGTGTGGCGTGTGTGGCACATGTGAGCCCAGCCTGGGGAGGGAGAGATCGATTTGCACGAGCTGCGTGCCTGCCTGTGCAAGAGGGCCAAGGCCGTGCAGCCTGTGGTGCCTCCGTGCCTGGCACAGAAGCAGAAGGCTCTGTGT